AAAAAAAAAGAAAACCCAAGTGGAGGAGACGAGAGAAGGCCCTGTGGCCAAGACCCTGGAGGCCCTGTGGCGGCCATCCAGGGGGCTACAGAAGCCTCTGTCCCTTCTGGAGATGCCCAGCCTGGCCCCCGATAAGCCCTTGGGAGGGAGTGCCCCCACCTTCTGTCAGTGGGGCCAGGAGTAGGGAATTATCACAATTCTGAAATCCAAACAGTCTTGAAAGCCCAAGATTTCTTGAGACTCATTTGGCTGCAAAACCTGACTACTTTCTGTGACTGCTCATGTGGGTTTTTTTTTTTTTTTTTGCAGAATATTAATGTATTTCATTACAGAATCCTGCCCCAGGCCCTGCTCTGGGGTTTACGTAACTTAAGGCATCTGAGCTATGTGTTCCCTTTCTAGAAGGCCAGTTTCAATTCTGAAAACTATCTGGTCCTCGGGTTTTGGAATCAGGGAGTGCAGACCCATATTATTATGAATCTGTTTACCCTCAGACTGTAGTCAGAGGAAACACTCCTGATAATACACAAAATAAGAACAGAGTGGAGAGAGCAATAGGGTTGGGATGAGACATTGGGGCAGGGGTCGTGCTCTAGGTCTCACTAGGTATAGGGCCTTGGGAAGGTCTTTAACCATTCAGAGCCTCGATTTCCTTACTTATAAAACGGAAATAATAATCCCTACCTCCTGTGCTTATTAGGGGATTAAGTGAGATAATGCATGCTTATGGCATACAGAGTAAGTGCTTAGTAATTACATGCTTAATATGAATAGATAATAATGTATGTATTAGCCAGATAGACCTTTTTCCTCAGTGCCCTGTGCACTGGGACCCCCAGACCAGCTAGGGAGCCAGGCAAGACAGCCACCCCTGGATTCTGTGCTCAGGGTGCCTCGCAGGAGCAAGACCCAGCTTGGGGAGCCCTGTGCAGAAAGAGGGAGGGCGCGGGGGACACTTAGTGCTCAGAACTTCCAGTGTCAGGGAAGAAATCATGTGGGAGATGCTGGGATATACTACCATAAACAGTAATAGTGGAACATAGAGTCTGGTACCCACTCTTACGGGAGATGCTCAGAAATCCTCGTTGGCAGAACCTATGCCCCCGGCCTGCCCACCCACCACTACCACATGATGCTTGTCGCTTCTCTTGGGAAGCAGGTGGGTCAACAGGCTGTGACGACTATCTGTTTGCCTTAAAGTCTACGTCCACTACAAAATGCTTACAGCCTTTGGCACTGAGAGAGGACAAAGGCTAAACCATGGGTCCCCTTCTGAAAGCCTCTTGACTGAGAAAATCTGACTTTGCCCTTTCATATTTGCGTCACTGTAAATAAATCACTGAGAAACTTGTTTCTTTCTGTGAAAACCAAGATTAAAACAATTGTGATTGGATGTCCCCATGGACCCACAATTTCTGCACCCCAGAAGTTAACCTGGCTCCCCTGGCCAAGGCACTCCTCGCTAAAACTCCTCCTCCATCTCCGCCAGGCAGGAGGGGCTTGGCTGCCAGGCAGCACCGAGCTTGTGCCCACCCCATCCCTAAAGGGTCTGCACAACTCCGGGGATCAGGGCTACTTAGACTATCAAAGAATCTTACTTTTGGCCAAGAGCTGTTTAAAGGACAGGTCACTTCTGGGGCACCTGGGTGGTGCAGGTGGTTAAGCATCTGACTCTTGGTCCTTAAGAGTCTGCTTGAGAGTCTCTCTCCTTTTCCCTCTGTCCTTACCCCTCACCGTCCCCCCCAACCTCTCTAAAATAAATAAATAAACCTTTTTCAAAAAAATGAAATAAAGTTCAGGTCAGTTCTGATATTGCTTGACATCATAACTGATAAAAAGAAAAGCCGAGCAAAGCTCCTTGAGGAATTCTTGATGCTCTGAACTTTCTGTATTATTATGATCAAAAGGACCCAAGGCTGGTCCAGCTCAATAGGGAGGGGAAGCCATTCTAATTTTGACAGTACCTGGAAAAACGCTCCCCACGGTAGATTCCTGTAAGCTCTTCCCAAGCCTCTAACCCTTTAGGTCGTGGGGGAGAGGGTGATTATGATTGTCAGACCAGCCCAACCCCAAGACCCTCGCCTTAACCCTGCCTCCACCCTGCCAATCCCACAGAGCCAGACAGGCCCGGAAGGAAGTTGCTGGCGGGCGGCCCCCTCCCACGCGGCCAGGTCATTTGAACCCCCAGCCTGGGGCCAGCCTGGAGCTCTGGGAAGGGACCTCACCTCTCTGAGTCCTGTAGTGTGTTGCCCTCTCTTCTCCAGGTGAGCACATTCCTGAGCTCCAGACCAGGTCATACTCTGCTTCTGCCTCTCGAAGGTCTTTCATTCAGTCGTCCGTATTTATGGAGTTTCTGCTCTGGTACAGGAGGGGTACAGACTCAGGACAGGCATCTGGGCTACACCAGTGAGCTAATGAAGTTCTCTGCCCTCAGGGGGCTGGCATCTGGGCAGGGAGAGAAAGACAGTAGTAAGCAATAGACGTGGTAAAGTCAGAAATGCCAGAGCATCTTAGAAGGGAGTAAGTACGGTGGAACAGAAGACAGGATCTGGGGTCCTGGGGGAAGTGGCAGGTTGAGTGTTAAAGTCAGATGGATAGTTTATTACTTAGGGTTCTCCAGAGAAATCGAACCCATAGGCTGGAGCGATAGATACACAGATAGATAATAAGGAATTGGCTCAGGTGATTAAGGAGGCTGAGAAGTCCCATGCTCTGCTGTCTGCAAGCTCCAGGCCCAGGAAAGCAGCTGGTGTGGTAATAATACGAGTCCAGAGAGCCAGGGAGCTGATGGTGTAAGTCCCAGTCCAAGTGTAGAAGAATGTCCCAGCTCACGCTGTCAGAGAGCCAATTCTTCCTTTGCCTTTTCAGGCCCTCAGTGGAGTTGCAGGAGGCCCACACACACTGGGCAGAGCTTCGCAGTCTACCCATTCAGATGCTAATTCGTCCAGAAACACCCTCACAGACACACCCAGAAGCAATGTTTAGTTAAATATCTGGGCCCCCTGTGGCCTAGTCAAGCTGAATATAAAATGTACCATCAGAGACAGCCACAGCATGCCAAGCCAACACCCTAGTCCAAGGATCCCTGCGGGAGAGTCCCCATTAGGCTCTGCGCCCCAGCCGGGCACTCTGCCTGACATGGGGTAGGTACTAGCGGAAGGTCTTTGGGGGTGAATAGGTGACTATTGATCCCAAGGTGGCTCTAACTCAGAGGGCCCCCCCTGTGGGTCTTCCCCTGGCTTAACTTCAAGTACTTTGCTGTCTTCTGTGTGTAGGTGCCCACATTCCTGGGGAGGCTCCCACCTCCTGGGCTTACCACACTGCCTTCTCCCGTTTCAGGTGCACAGGTGGTTTCTCAGTTCCCTGCACTCCTTGACGGTGCCCTGAGTATCCCTCCCTCAGCACCCACAAGTAGGGTGCCCTGAGCCTCCTTAAGAGCAGCCCTCAGACTGTCCCCACACACCCTTCCTAACTGTGCCCTCTGTGTCCCCAGGCACAGCCAGTGGGACTCCCAGTCTGTTCAGGATCAGGAATCTTGTTATTACAGGAGTCCTTGATCTATTCAGTCCCTTAACGGTGTTTGTAGCTTTCTTTTTTCTGAGCAGTAAGGAGCGAATAAGCACCCAGAGACCAGATTGTATTCTTTTCCTTCATATATATTTATTCCAAAATAAAGACATACAATTTTAAACAAGGTGATTATAACTGATTTTGATTTAGCATGGCTCTACTTGATTTTTTAATGGCCCCAACTTAAACAGGAGGCTTTTTCATTCAATAAATAGCATAAATAATATTTCATCTTCATACTTTGCCCATCACCCCTTGTTTCTGGAAAGTTTCCTGGAGACTCTTCAGAAACGTCAGTGTGTTGCCTGTTGTAGTTTGGTTACATGGCTGTTCACAGGAAAAAAACTGTGGGGAGAAAAGTTAGCAAAGACAGAGTGACGAAAACAGTGTGAACCAGGAACCACCCTGCTTGCAGCCCTAGGTGGGGTAGGGGTGCGGTGGGGCGGGGTGTGCAGGCAGCAGGGGCTTGAAACAGCGAATGCACAGGAAGGTCCAGGGCTAGCATGTTGTGTAGACAATGTAAGCGGCTTTGTATTGCCATTTCAGGGGTACGACACACACACACACACACACACACACACACACACACGGACACCTATCAAGTGGTCCTAAATCTCCTCATTAGAGGAAAACTTTTCTTGGGATTCTTCGAGTCCTAACATTTCATTATCCTTTTGAGGTCTTTGAATAGCCCTATGGCTAAAGTGGGGCTTTGGGGTCAGATAGACCAGACTTCCAATCTCAATTCTGCCACTTAGGGAGTTTGGTGAACCTCACTGAGCATGTTCCCTCCTTCCATAAAGTGAGGGTGATAAATGATCACTGAAACAGTTGTTATTGTAATGAAGCAATAAATATTAAGCATTTAGAACTACACGCTGTTGACTGTAAGTAGCTCAGTTAAGTAGCTGAGGGAAGGGCTCTCAGCCTTCTGGGGACACCTGGGGGGATGCTAATTCCCAAAGAGTTCATGCCCTCCTTTCCCTCCAGGGACCAGGGCATATGCTGAAGAAGAGAAGGTGCCCTCGTATAATTTAGCATCATTTGAGGCACAGCTCTGATCCTCTAGATTTCAGCTTCTTTTTACAATCAGGACAGATGCTTTCCTTATTCAATAGGGTGGAAAGAAGAAAATGGCAACATGGGTGTGAGTATTTTTCAAAACTGGAGGGAACAATGAGCTATCCGGGGCAGATCTCACTTTAATTTTGTCATTCTGAATAAATTTCTTAGAGGTCTCTTATTGACCTTGAACTACCAGTTCCAACTTTACCATCCTTTTTCATTTCGATAGAGTTGTCATTGACCCTCACATGAAAACAACTAAGTAGAGTGTATCACAGATAAAAACAAATTCACCTGGCCCTTGTTCTTTAGGACTTGGACTGTTTTTTTTACTCGATTGAAAATCAGGGGGTATCTTGTTTCCACTGTGGAGTTGGTCATCTGGGACAGACCTTCCTGGAAGCATGCTGTGGTACAGTTGTCCTGGTAAATAAAAAGAATTTATTAAAAGAAACCTTCTGAGGACCACTTTGAGAAGAATCGCAAAGAGAATGCTTTCAGACACTATTTTAATTTATCCAATGTAACCTAAACTGGTATTATATTTAGACAGGTCCCTTCCCAGTCTAGGAGATGATCTTTAGCTTTTCAAGGCAATACCATTTTTCCTCAGTGACACTCCTTGGAGATTTCCAGATGCTCCATCGAAGGAACACAAAGCCTATGGATGGTGGAAAACAACTAGTTCTAGTCTCCTTTGCACCTGATGTTCCTCCGTTCTATGTCTTGTGACAGTAAGTTGTAAAGTAGAGAGATGATCACACCAGTCTGATGGGATGTGTCAATTGAATAGAGCTGGTGTTTCAGCAGTAGCTAAAATCATGGAATGTAAACTGAGGGGCTGGTCTGGGCTTTAGATGCGTGGTTTGTCCTCAGAAGGCACCCCACACTCGTCTCATCTAAGGGATGTACCCTGATGGGATGTGATATCTGACCCCAGCTAGGGTGAGCAGTTCAGATTCTCCCAGGCTTTGCTTGGGGGGAAAATAATGCAGGAGGCACCTCCCTCCTCACCTAAACCAGAAAGTTCCTGCCACACTTCCTCTTTGCCTATGTGGGGAATGAATGACCCTCTGGAAGCCCTTTCCACTTTCCCTCTGCCTTAGACATCCTAAACTCCCCCCATTCAAACTGTACAACCTAAATCAGCCAAAAAGACAGACAGGAAGGGAGGGAAGGAGAGAGAAGGTATAGCACCTGGAGAGTTTATGCAAGAGGAAAGAAAAAGAGTTACTTTTACTTACTTGTTTTGCAACCCTAGAGTTTTAGGAAATAAATCAGTAAGCAATATGATATAAGCTATATTCTGATATTCTCAGCTCCGGCGTGATTTAATTGTGCACCTGGCCACTAATCTAAAAAGACATACAAGACTCGTTTGAAAGTATTGAATAGTGTTCAAACCTCTGAGAGGGCATAAAGCTGACTAAATACAAAGTGATGTATATGGTATAGAATTTCAGGAGCCTGCTTTTAAAAGGAAACACTGAGCAGTAACAATTACAATCGAGTAACATTTTCTTACTTAAAGTATCAAATAGAGCAATTCATTTTTACTTGAGAACTTTTAAAGAACACAACGTCAAGATTATACTGTTTCACTATACTTACAGAAGGGATGGGCAGACACAAACAATCGGTCACCTGCAAAAGAAAAATTCCAGAGTGAAGATGCCGGATGCAAACGTGGAAATAAGTTTGGAAAGGTCTTAAAAGAGCATTGACTCACATTGGCACTGCTGCAGGTGCATTTTGAAGCTGGATGTTCCTAAAGTAAGTAGAAAAGCAAAACCCATAATGGGTGGTGAGTTTTTCATTCTTACGTTATGTTGCCTTCCCCACTGGCACCCCCCTCTGCAGCTTACCTGCAGTTTGTCAATGAGGTACGTGACATCACTGATCCCCATAAAGATCAGACACCCCTGGCTCATCACGGAGCAGAGGAGCAGGGCAGAGGCAAGCACCACTGAGGGCAGGAGCATTTTGACACGGAGGTGCAAGTTGGCTTGCCGATGCCTTGAAATCGAGTCGTATTTAAAGCTCCCTTGCAAACCTGGAAAAACCCTGACATCAAACTGATACCAGGTGCCCACTTTTTCTATGTAAGATTGGGTCACTTGACATTGAAAGAAAAAATATGTATATATCGAACTGAGTCACTTGGCAAAGACTATGTGACATTGTGCTAGGAAATGTCATTCCCCAGAAAAGATGCTTTTCAAAAAGTTGGGTACAGAGATGCTGAAGGAAAAGTTAAAGATCTTAAAACCATAATTTTTTTTTTTAAGGCAGATACTCTAGTTGTGAGAGTTAGAATATTTTCCATGACAGCCCAGGTCTGTATTTTCCCCTTTTTACTTTATTGGAAATGCTGATATACTAGCCAGTCATGGGTATTCTAATGAAGGGCCAGGAGGGGGTGGGAGAATGAGAAATCATGCCTGTGAGCTGCTCTGTCAGGGTTTTGCAAGGTCATGCTGGTGAAGTCATTGCAACCTTAATCTTACTATACTTTATTCTCAAATCTTAACGGTGTTCTTCATATCTGGGGCCAGATCCTCCACCTCATACCAATGCATCTTTGTGCGAGTATTCCTTTAAACGGGTGTCTGAAAAAGGAACTCTGCAACTGTACCAGCAAGAATGTAGCAACAGTGGCTATTAGAATTGGCCTCGAGGATTCCTTAGTGTCTTTCGGGAAATTATGTAGGGCTGCACAGCATCCAGTCAACACTAGGTGCTTGAAATAGGATAACAGCTAACATTTATTGAGCACTTACTACCTACTAAGCACCATTTTAAGCACTTGATGGGAATTAAGCCATGTACTACATGAAGCCACCAAATGAGGTAGATACTAATTTGTCATCCCCATTTTTTATCTTTTTTTTTTTTTAAGATTTATTTATTTATTTGAGAGAGAGAGAGTTAGGGGAGGCACAGAGGGAGAGAGAATCTCCAGTAAACTCCCTGCTGAGTGCAGGGCCTGACACGGGGCTCAATCTCACTACCTCGAGATCATGACCTGAGCCCATTTTTTATCTTTTAAAACATTGTATCTTAGCTTCCTGGCCCTTTGATGTGGCTGTTTTTATCACTATGAGCCAGAAAGTTGTCTCACTGTCACCCTATGAGATAAATACTATGATTACCCCCATTATTTTATAGATGGGGAAGCTGAGGCACAGAGACGCAAGTAGTTTTCCCAAAGCCACACAGCCAGGTAGCAACAAATTTCATACTGAAGCCCAGAAGTCTGGCTCCCAGGTTCAGCTCATAATCCTGCTCTCCTGCTTCTCTGTGTGTTTGTTATCTTTCTCTCCCACCGGGATATATGCCCCCTATGTGTCTGGTTCACCCTTATATCCTCAGCCTCTGGGCAGGCCCCTGAGGAACAGTGGGCTATCACTAAATGCTTGTTGAATCAAAACATTAATGTGAAAAGCAGTTTTTGAAATAGTAAGAAAGGTACACAAAAACTATGATTTTATAAGGTTTCCCATCTAGTTTCTGGGGCATGTATTTGGAGGTGTGTGGGCTTAAGAAAATGTATCTTCCACACACTAGAGACTGAAAAAGTGGGGACCCTTTGGCTTAGCCCTTTGAGCCATACTAGCGAGTGGAACAAATTCGTACGATTTTCTGACCAGCGCTGTCACAGTGTGTGGTATTACTGCTGCTCCCGTTCGTGCCATTCCTTAGGAGGGGTGACGGACGATGGGGAAGGGAGGTCTCTTGGTAGCAAACAAGGGAAATTGGCTTTTTGCTAACTTCCCCAAACCCTCCTGCAGCTCCATGCCTGTCCCCTGCAGGCAGTAAGGAGAAGTTACAGAGGCCCGCCAGCCTATGGCAAACACTTTTATTACAGAGTCTGGTAGCGATGCCCTTTTCTTGCTGATAGAACCCTCACTAGTTCGGGGTGGCAACGGACCCAGCCGAACACCCACTTTTTCAGTCTCTCTGCTGCGGTGCTGCAGGGGGGCAGGTGACGTGTTCTGATCAATACAATGCCCCTAGAATTCATTAGCTTTTCTGGTTAACAGGAGGCAAAAGTAGCTGAGACCTGCCCTTTACCCCCTTATTGCAATTTGAGAGTGGATGTGATGGCAAGAGCTTCTGAGGCCATCTCATAACTATGCAGGAATGGACAAGAGAATTGTAGCAATTGCAACACAAACACTTTACAGAAAGAAATAGTCTTTAAAAAAACAAGAAAAATAAGATCATGAGAGCAACAGTAGAAGGTTACAATGGAACTACAATAGAGCTACTAAATTCTAGCTAGGTATCGTTGCCTACGGAAGACCCTGCGGCTTGAGGCTCAGTAAAAATGGAAATCTCTTCTAAAAACGGAAAGTGGCACGAGCTAGAGAAATGTCAAAGATGTGTCAGCATCAGATTGAACCTTTTTCTCCTAACATCATTAGAAGACCTAAAAGAGACTTGAAAAGGCAATCACCTTCCCATTGTGTAGATCAGTATTACTTAACGCCGTGCGCTTGAGGCGTGGCAATCATTTCCCACTGCTTCAGCCGTGCCTCCCACACGGAGGAAAACACTACACTGCCCCTCTCACTGTACAGATGGAGGCTATATGGAGGAAGAGTGGGCTTGTTCAGTTACCAGCGGGGGATAGGAGAGCGTAGTGGTTAACACCTGTGACCCTGTGATCAGACTGCCTGGGTTCCAATCTTACTTCTGTCACTTGCTGGCCATATGGACGTGGGCAAGTTGCTTGGCCTCCCATCCTTCTGTTTCCTGACTGTAAAACAAAGATGTGGATGTGGAGGATGGGGAGGAGGATGGGATTGCAGTTGTCATGTAAGGCCTACCTCAGAAGAGTCTTGTGAAGAGTGAAAGAAATGTTTCCTCAGTGCTTAAGTTTGACGTTTGATGGGACAATGTAGTCTGGTGTAGACGTCAACCAACCATAACCCACTTGGCCAGATGCAGTGTAAGGCCTACAAACCAAGAATTGTTTTGAAGGGTTGATTGAAAAATAATTAACAAAGAACAGCATAACATACTTACTGTCTGGTCTTTTACAGACAGAGGACCTGCCCCTGGTGTACTTCGCATGGCACATTCCACATTTTCAGTAGACGTCATCTATGATCTTCCCCTCCCGGAAATGTGGAGCTAGGAGTTGGTGGCCTCAGGGCCTCTTTTCCTGTTGCCCTTCCGGTTATTCAGCTCAGAGCTCTGTACAGAGGGGAGGGCAGGGGAAGCTCTGGAATCATCGGCTGCCAGGTTCTCTGAAATGTTGGAGGCCCATCATCTTCTGCAGCGGGCTGTAGAGTGAGCTTCCTGGCCCCATGAGCCAAAGGTCTTCTCTTGGTGTAGCCAGGTACCTACCATCAACGGTATCTCAGGTAGGTCCTGGTTTAGGGGAAGAGCCCCACATATTGCAGTGAGGAGAAAAGTGGGTGAACTGACATTCCTTTCTCTCTGGGCCAAATCCTGGCCTGACCAACTGGCCTTGGGTCACCCACCCTCGTATCTACCCCCAAGTACTGTTGCAGGGAAATGTCGTCAGTGGACATGGGTGCTCCTTGGGCGGGTTACCTAGCCTTTCCAAGCATCCATGTACCACCAACACTCACCCACACGGGAAGGATTACTCAGTCCCACCTCATAGAAGGATAGAAGTATTCAATTTGGGATGCTTCCTCAAGAGGGAACCACATTTCCACTTGGAAATGTGATCTGGTCTGGTCCAGACTCTGCTCATATTCTGCTCTTCCTCTTAGCTCCCACCTGATAGTCACATTGGTTGCTTTCTATTTCCAGCCTCCAGGCCTTTGTTCTTACTAAGCTCTGCCTGGAATATTCTTCTTCAGCTCTTCCATGTATGGCTTGTTCTCATCCTTCAGGCTTCTACTCAAATGCCACTTTCTCCATGATGCCCTCCATAACCACAACAGTCATTGCAATCTGCATGATCCTGTCTTGTGTCTATTCCTCGAAGTGGGATTGAGTTCTATGAGAAGGGTATGAGGTTGGAGTCTGGTTCATTATTGTATTCCCAGGGCATGGTCTATACTAAGTGCTCAGGAATTGCTGGTTAAGTGAATGAATGACGAATAACTTTAATTTTGTAAAAATGCATTTAATGTATATTATTTATGAAATGACCAAGACATGTTCCCAGTATATCAGTAACAAAGAACAGATATAACATTCATAAAACCTGAGCAAGGAAAGCATTTGAAGAGTGAGGAAGCAATCAACAAAATACACCCTCCTGCAGGGCAGTCCCTTCAGAACTTTGGAGAGCTTTTTAATTTCTTCTCCCTTCCAGTTCTCATAGTCACTACATGAGGAATGCATGTCAGGTGTGGGAACTCTGACTCTGTAGATGAAGAAACAGGGAGAGAGAGGTGACCATTCTTTACAATTCTTTTCTATCTTCCCAGCCACTCAGTTATAAAAATGAAAAGAACTAAGAATATTTAAATGGCAGCTCTGCAGTTTAAAACACCGTTACAACAGCAGATGTTTATCTAGCAAAGTCTACAGCTTTTGAGGTTTAGCTTTTAGGATTTATTGTGATACCAGAATGTAAGTAAGCAAATGATCTCCTTCAGAGGAAATACACCAAGCTGAGAAATTACTTACTCACCTGTTTTAAATATCAAGAAGATTGGAGAGTGGGATGCTTACCAAGATTTAGTGTAGATAACATATTTTACAATAAATGAGAAAAGACAATACTCAACCATTTATTTTGTTTCAAAGATAAAGTTTGACATTTTTATTTTGTGATTAAACCCCCATGTGTCATGGATTATTGCTCTAGGAATAAAACAACATGGTTATTTGTTCTAGGAAGCCACAGCATGAAATGACACACACAGAAAAGACACAAAATTTCTAAGTAAAACCCATTTGGCCTTTTCCTTTAAACAGCCAAGAGATAACTAGTTATGAGAATCCTCAAGCACTAATTTCTTAATCAAATAGTTATTTCTAAGTCATTATT